AAAAAAAAGTTATTCATAAATAATAGTGATTGCATATTTGTGTGCCTCAGATAGTACATTTACTTACCCTGTGAGTAAGATGTTATTATTCCTTCTTTCTCTTTATTTCCTTTAACAGGTTAAGTAACCCCAAGCTAGTTTAAATAATTAGCCAAAACTCACACAGCCAGTAAGTAGTAGATTTTAAGTACTGGGCTTTCTAATCTCAGATCCTGTCTTCTTAATTTCTAGCAATATTGAAAAGTTTGATAGCGTTCTTTATTTATGGTTGAGTTTAATCATATTTTCTAAAGAAAAGCAGTACATATGATTCATCTACTTAGCAACTCTCTTCACAGCATTTCACAGGGATTCCCCCCACCCCCCATGAGTGCAATTGGTACAATATCCCAGACTGTGCTTAGGTAGCTGGCAAAACTACTCTTAGACACCTCGGTTATATCTTCCCTATTCGCATCTGATTTCTGACTATAATGCTTCCCATGCTCAAAACAGCCCCTGTGCTGTTATGTTAGTCCTACCCAACATGTTGTAATTTTCCTTTCCTAGAATGCCTGTTATTCTTGACCCTCTTTTCTTTGAGGAAACTGAACTTACTGTTTGTGATCCTGAGTAGCTAAAGAGCGAGATAAAGAAATTGCTTTGTTTTGCTTGTTTGGAGATGGGGTTGGGAAATCAAATGAAAGGGGAATGAATGGTGGGAATTTTTAGCTCTTTTCAAAGCTATTTTAAATAGGCAGTTTTAATTCTTGACAACACTTTAATGTTGATTTCACTCTTCACTCATACAGTAGACCTTGACTTAGGAACTCAGTGCATTCCCAAGGGCTGGTTGCTACTCAGGTTATCAACTGAAGGTTCAGGCTCCCTACACAGCCTTCAAAGTTTCTCTTCTCTATACACAGATCTCAGCATCCTTAGAGAGACATTGGCCCAGGATTTCTCAATTAAACCCATATAAGAAAGGATGTTAATATTCCTTCCAGAACTTTAAAAATTTAAATCTGTAGCTGGGGGCCAAGGAGATAGCACAGTAGCCCTTGCCTGGCTTGAGTTCAATCCCTGGTTGCACCAAAATCAATCAATCAATCTATCTATCTATCTATCTATCTATCTATCTATCTATATCTGAGTCTATCTGGAAACACGAGCCACTGGCACTTGGTTAGACTTTGGTCATAAGTTAAAACTAAAATTTGGTTCATAACCCAAGTTGTTCACGAGTCAAGCCAGCCCTAACTCAAGGATGCACTGTATTTGTCCCACAGGGTATACCACAAGAACGTCTCTTGTCTAAGTGTTTAAGTGACAGCATCTGTGCATGAGGCTAAGACAGCTCTGTGTTTCTGTGTTAAGGTTACAAGAACAGCAAACCGCCCAATAGCCACCGGAGACATTTCACCTTTTCAGTCCTTGGTTTTTCTCGGGGGACAGCTGACCTTGGCCCTGGGTGTTCTTCTGTGTCTGAATTACTACAGGTATAGTACATGTATCTTTTCTAAACATATATAGACTCTGCGATGGAGAAAGTAAAAATAAAACAGAAAAATCTTTATCATCAGAGTTGCTTATTGGCTGCCTGCCTATCCAAGATCTGTAAATTATGCAGCATAAGTACATTAATGCACCATAAGCTAAAAATCTGCCACAAGAATGCTTTCAGCCAGCCAGGCATGGCAGCACACACACAGTAATTCCAGTAGTCTGGAAGGACACTGAAGCAGTAGTATTTCAAGCTCAAGCCCAGCCGAGGCAACTTAGCAAATTAGTGTGATCCTGTGTCAAAACTTTAAAAATAGGAGGTGCTGGGGATGCAGCTCAATGAGAAGATCCTGAGTTCAATCCCTAGTACTACAAAACAAAATGACATTGACAACAAAAGTCCACAATACTTTCACCCAAAAGAGTTAAGAGATCAGCACTAAATGTGTTCTGAACCACCTTATTTGTGCTTTGTGTCCCTTAAGGGACACAGGCTCCTCCAAAGGCTAAGTGTGTATGCACTGTGTGTGCCTGTACTCTGTGCTGGAGGTTGTCTCCAGAGTGTGGGGAAACACAGACAGACTCATTTTTCAAAAAGAACTGTATCCTTCCCCTTGCTGGAACTAGTCAGTGATAGGCCATGCAACTAATCAGTGACAAGGATAAAATGGGAACACCCTTCCTGTATCTCTTAAACAGAGATACAGCTACTTTTTTGTGTTAGCCACCTGTTTACCAAGGGCTTCAAGGGGCGGGGGGGAAGACAAAGCTGGAAGGGAGATAAGCCTGAGTGTAGAGTTGAGGCTGAATCAGGCCGTGTGCTGGCAGCTGGAATAACTTGAGAACACCCTTGGGAGCTGCTTCTGGGGGTGCTGTGAGCCAGACTTCAGGAACTAAAGAGCATCTTAGGTTTGCATGCTTGCCTTTTCCTGAGAACTAACTCACATCATGAGTAAAGGAGAAGCCTCGTCTGCTGGATGCTTAGGCTCAGGATGGCTTAAAGAGGCTGTGTCAGGCTGGAGATGTAGCTCAGTGGCTCAGCGCCTGCCTGGCAAGCGTGAGGTCTTGAGTTCAATTCTGGGTACCCCCACATCCCCCCCAAAAAAAATAAATAAAGAGGCTATGAGCAGGCTGGATTCTGGGTCTCAGTCTCAGCTCTGCTGTAGAAAAGCTATGTGACAGCAGCAGATTACTTCATCTCGTCTGCAAAAAGAAATAGAAGTACTTGGGTCTTAGGCCATTGTGAAAATTGTGATGCGCTAGCAAATGAAAGCCACTCAGTGGTATGTGTCAGCTATTATTTTGTTGGATTGTTTAGTCAGCATTAAATATTTTTCTAATCATTTATAATAGGAAAAGCTGAAGTCCAGAGAGAATTTATAACAAAAAACATTATTTAAGATTTCAAAACATGTGCGGTAGTATTATGTCTTCCAAGTGATGGCGACATAACCCTGCTTTTTCTGTTTTCAGTATAGCTCTGGGAGCAGCATCATTACTTCTTGTCATCACCTACCCCCTGATGAAGAGAATCACATACTGGCCTCAGCTAGCCCTGGGTGAGCTTGAGACAGCTAGTTCTTTCAGCATGCTCAAACTATTCTTTTCTATATTTTATATTCATAAAAGAGGCCAATTAGTCATTCTTCTTTGCTATGACATCTTGCATATCTTTCTATGATTATCATCACAGTATTTCCATAGTGCTTTTTAAAGATCTAGGTCTGTCATGAAGAGAGGGTTAGTCAGGGGACCCTGAAGAATGTGGGTACAGGTAGGAAGTACTGTGGGGTGGATAACTCCCTTCTTTTCTGTGCCACCTCCTTAGACCTTCCTGGAAGAAGTCCATCTGGGGCTTCCTGTCCTCATTTTAACAGGATTAGGCACACCTCCTGGTCTCTCCATTAGTAAATTTTAAGTGTCTGAAAGAGAAGCTTTTGTGTAGGTATTTAATCCAGTAACTGTTGGTGGGTGGATAGGTTAGTACAATTTATATAGAAGTATCTGCTCCTTGAATTTTTTATTCTATTTCTAGAAGATGGTAGAATAGTCCTAACATGATTCTGGTGAGCCACTTTTCTAGTAAATAAAAGGACAAAAACAATCCAGGAAACTGATGAGAGCCTGGCTTAGAGGAAAGTTGTGGTAGAATGTTTATCCTTTCCAGAGGCACTCCCATTGGATGCTTTTGTCATTGTTATCTAAAAAAAATTTACATTCTTAATTGACCTGAGAATCTTTTGGTAGGAGGAAGATAAGCATTTCCAGACTATGATATTTAAAAAATGGTATATTTAATGCAAACATTTATTGAACCTCTACTTGTATGCTGTGCTGGGGAATTATGCAGAGTACTTGGGAGACAGGAAGATGACGCAGTCTCCATCTCTAAGAAGCCAGAGGAGGAGACTACAGATCTGGAGGCCTTTGGCGTACCCCGTGGCGTGATGAGTGCCCAGGAGCTCAGTGGAGAGGCACTGAGTCAGCTGAGGGCAGCCACCCCACAAAGGGGAAGAAGGGTTTTAAGAGTAAAGACACCGGGCACATTGAGTTTAAGGTGGTAGAGGGACTTGTGGGCAAGGAGGTCCAGCCAGATGTCTAGAGCCTGCAGGTGGAGATTTGGGAGTTATCACCATTTGGGTGTTTCCCTACAGTCTTCAGTGGGGACAGGCCTGTGGGGGTGTGAAAGTGTTCCTGTCTATTCATGAGTCCCTGGGTCTGAGCTCCAGCCCCAGCACCACCACCATTTGTTGGCCAAGCCAAATGCAGAAGGTGGGATACGTGTTCTGCTTGCCTCAGTAGGAGATGCCTTTACTACACTAAGCTTGTTTCCTTTCTTGCAAGGTGGAACTGATGGACTTAGAAGACTTCACGGAGCTTGTGTGCACAGCCCACAGGGGCAGTGCAGAGCCAGGTGACAGCTCCATTCCCTTGGAACCCTCAGTCCACCCCACTTTTCTCTGTGTCCCCTGCAGGGCTGACATTCAATTGGGGTGCGCTACTTGGCTGGTCAGCTGTGAAGGGCTCCTGTGACCCCTCTGTGTGCCTGCCTCTGTACTTTGCTGGGGTCATGTGGACACTAATCTATGATACTATTTATGCTCATCAGGTAAAGAGTGCTATGTCTTTTGACTGGTTTAGGTATTGTTGTTTTATAAGAACTAGTCAGTAAGAGCCAACTAAGGGGAAATTCTCTTTTTCTTAAAAAGAAAGTCATGATTCCATGACTCCTACAAATTTTTTTTCCCATAATTTTATTGAGAAACGAATAGCAATGAGAGTATTTCAAACCAAATTGGTAGGACAGTTTCAATAATTAACACATTGCATACATTCTTCCTAGTGGTTAATTGCTGTACAAGATGTGGACATAATATCCTATTTACAAACACTATTAGAACAAATCCCTCTATTCATTAAGAGAATGTAGCTATCTATTCTAACCATTCTGAATACACAGATACAAAATGGGCATTCATCATATCCCCTTTTCTTGTTTAGTTCTGTTATTTGAATATTATAGGTGTGTTAACTCAGCAAAATATTCTGAAAAAGTCCAGTAGTCCATAATAGTATTGGGTCTTCCACTTCACTGGCAATGTCAGAAATTGTTGACGTGAGTCCCCTACAGCTCAACATAACACCATGGCTTTACTTCTTTTACTTCATTTTTATACCTTTCTGCTGGGTGGTTAAGACCAAGATAAAGCAAGACCTATGCAACAAGAGTTGTAGCTTTTGACTCCTACAAAATTATTGTTTCATTTTTACCTTTGTTTACCAAAGAGTTCAGTTCATTTATTCTGTTTTATTTTCAAGCATTTAAGTAATATTTACAGTATTCCAGGCACTGACTTTCCATTGTTCTAAATACTTTGCAAATATTGAGTTATGACCCATAGGATTCTGCAAGGAAGGTACTTTTATTATCCCCATTGTACAGATGAGACATGTGGAGAAGGGCCTTGTCCTTGTCACATAGTTAGTAGGTGGCAGGGCTGAGGTCTGGGCTCGAGTCCAATGCTCCTTTGTGTCTGTTTACCGCCTCTAACCATTGTGTTGGGCAGCTTTTTCATGTGTGGTGAGCAATAAACATTTCCCTTATTTTCACTGATTTCTTGCCATTGTCCTTTAGGACCACATAGTGGTCCATAGTCTCAGCACACTGTAATTATTTCAAATTAACAATATTTTTAAAAATGTCCATTCAAGTTGTGTCTGAGTCTTCATGATCACAAATGGTATTATTCTGCTCACTAACACCTCATGAGTAAGAGTTTTCAGTAAGTATTGTTCCTACATACAAACTATAGTTCCTGGGGGGGAACACGTCACTAGGTGGGAGTCAGCTTCCAGCCTGGTTGTGTAGAGTGGGGATGGTGGAGGGGTGGTGAGCTAAGTTGGGCAAGAAGTGGCAGTGGAGGGATGTGAGTGAGTGCTGAGTGAGCATTTTTATACACCTGTGGCACTGGCAAACTTGAAACTGCAGTGTGCAAGAAATGATGGAGACTTGAGAACGCTGAGGTAGAAGGGAGCTCCTATAAAAGTGTCTTTAGGACTTGCCATAGGATAAAGAAACAGCTGGTGGGGTTGAGTGGGGTGAGGGTCTCCACAGTAGTGAGCCCCTTTGCCTGGCTGCATGCCCCCACTGGCCAGACTATGTGGGAGTCACTGCCATCTCACTGTTTGGTATATCTGCCTGCTCTGCAAAGAGCATTTCTTCTGCAGTTAGTTGGTAGTGGTGGTTCTGCATCTTGTGACTATATTAATGCCACCAAGCTGTGTTCTTCCAAGTATGAGCTATATGTACAAGGATGCACTCAGAAATTAGTTTCTGATTACTTCCCGCTGTCAGGACAAAAGAGATGATGCTCTGATCGGCCTCAGGTCCACGGCGCTGCTGTTCCAAGAAAACACCAAGTGGTGGCTGAGCGGCTTCAGCACAGCCATGCTGGCAGCTCTAACCCTGGTGGGCGTGAGCTGTGCCCAGACCCCGCCCTACTATGCAGCCCTTCTCACCATCACTGCCCACTTGGCGCACCAGGTTTGGCCATTTCCTTCTTTCTCACTCCTTTTCCTTGGCATAGGTAATATAAACAGAATGCTGTCTTCACTTACTGGGCAAGGAGTTAACTTCTCAATGACTTGTCCTGCTTTGAACTTCCCTTCCCGGGGTCCACCTTCTCAATAAAGGCTGTGTTTTTGTTTTGTCTTTTTAAGGCAGGGTTTCACGATGTAGTTGAGGCTGGCTTGAACTCCCTTTGTAGCCCAGCTTGACCTGGAACTTTGTGAGCCTCCTGCCTCAGCCTCCCAAGTGCTGGTATTACAGGCATGTGCCACCACACGCAGCCAAAGCTGCATTTTATTTATTTATTTATTTATTTATTTATTTATTTTAGCGCTTAAAGCTTTATTTTAATTAAATAACCCAGGGAAATGTATCATTGGGATACTTTAACCATTCAAGTAATATGGAATTCTTCTGCAGGTTGTAGATCTTACAAAGCTGCATTATTTTTAAATACACAATATAACCTAAGCCTACATTTTATCTTCATTTTTCCTGGAATTACTTTTCATGTCTGGAAAATTTTCAGCAGTGACCAAAACAATATCTAGGTTGAGTCAAATTATTACTGGTTTTTTAAAAAAAATAAACACTTGGGTTTTGGGGTTTTTTTAGGTAACAGTCTACAGGGTGTTCAGAGTCTCAGTACTAGATCAGACTCGTAGTCATCTGCCTGTTTACAGCCTCCCAAGAGCTGGGATTACAGGTGCACCGCCACACCCAGTCTCAATTACCAGCTCTGCGCACCCCAGGGGCGGGGCCAAGGCCTGGGGGTCGAACCCCTGACCCCTGTAGCTATCTGATTGAATCAGAGTAGGTGGAATTTTGTAGGAATGTTGCTGTTATTTTTTTTTAATAGAATAAAAAAGATGTTAGTGAACCTGTATATAGCTGACTACAATGGCACCTTGAATTTGTTCCACAATTCCGGAAGATAACCCCATTCAGTTTCTTAGAGGAGAACTAGCTGTGGTTGTATTGTATGCATCACCCAATGCAGATTCCACACACAGAAACAAAATTTTACCAAACATTTCTGTTGGTGAACCAGATTGTAAACAAAAGCATTTGTGAACTAAGGTGGCACTATATTTTATACAGGTTTTTGTAGTGTCCCACAGTGTAGGCAAGACTGGTGTCACAGGGTATGAAGGAGACTAGAGTCAGGTGGGCTTTATTCGCTGCCCTTTATCCTCACCATAAACACGGAAGGTGTGAGTTGTTGGTGCCAGAATTCCATAGCCTCCCTCTGGCTATAACTCAGCTGAACTCAGGCTGTCAGCACCCATTGATGGGGCTAATAGTGGATACATATTAGTACTTACACACCTAAATATCAGATGGCAGAGGAAGGCAAAAATTATGAGAACAACTGCACATGTGAAATTATGTGGAACCCACCACTTTATATTCTAAATTGCATTTGTGGTCTTTTGTCTGGTCTTCAGTGCACTGTTTTAGGAAGCCACTGTCTTCTGGTTTCCTGGATAGAGTAAGACAGGCCTGAGAGACTCACAGTGTAAATACTGTAAATTGGACTCCCTTCCTCAGGAAAGAGGGTTTTGTGCTGGAGGTCGCCTTCTGCCAATCAGTCTCCAGGTCTCCTTTAAGTGGCGTTGGGAGGGAGGTTTAGGAACATGGGCATCTTTGGCTGTCATGGTAAAATGGAGTAGGGGACCTTTGGTGAATGGGAGCCCGAAACACTCAGTGTATCCAGCACACCAGACAGCTCTGTGCAGGGTCATCCCGCCCAGGCAGACCTGTTTTCCCTCATGACTGCTCCACAGAACAGAGCTGCCACTGGGCAGTGGACATTGAGGGAGGCTAGCTTCAAGTGGTTTGTGTAGGGAAAGGCTTGCTGAGGACACGGTGAGTGTCCCTTATCTGAAGAGCTTGAGGCTAGTGGGGGTTTTAGGTTTGGTTGGTGTGGGGTTTTGTTTTGTTTTTGTTTTTTAATATATATATATATATATATATATATATATATATATATATATATATATATATACATATATACATACATACATACACATATAGCTGACTAAGAGATGGAAATCAAGTCTGAACACAAAATGTATTCATTTCCTGTTTCACCATAGCCTGATGGCAGTTTTAGACAATTATTTTTTTAACAGTTTATTTTTTTAATGTATTTGGTAGAGGGTTGTTGTGCTTTATTTTGACTGCATTGTCGCATGAGGCAATGGGATTTTCCCCTCGTGCCTTCTGGCAGTTCTTATTCCACTGATGGATCTTGGAGCCTTTGGGTTGGGGGTTAAAGATGCTCCTCCTGTAGAGAACTGAGTGACATGCAGTGCCTCTGGGCGCTCGATCCCACACCCCAGCCAGGGACTCCTTCCTAGTCAGGACATTCCTTAGCCAATTCCTATGACAGATGTGTAGACTTTCCTGCTTGGAGGCAACTCAGTACAGCAGGGCTTCCTGTTAACTTCCAATCCCATAAATAGTTACTGTTTCCTCCCTGGCTTGGTTTCTTTATCTGTGATGCCCCAGGTCAGTTCAGGTCCTGACACAGCACTGTGCTCCTCCTCCACAGATCTGCACTCTGGACATCCACAGCCCTGCGGACTGCTGGAATAAATTCACCTCCAACCGAACAGTAGGAATAATCCTCTTTCTAGGAATCGTCTTCGGAAATTTGTGGAAAGAAAAGAAGACAGATGGAGCAAAGAAAAACAAAGATAGCATAAACATTTAGAAAATAATGTTTAGGAATTCTGAAAACAAATTTTTACAAAACACTTAGGTATTGTAACCACATGCTGAATTTTAAATAAGCTGTGTGTTACAATATTTTATAGAAATAAGGGCCAGAAGATGAAGACTTAAAGTAAATTGCCTGGATTTTAATTGAGCAGTTTGTTAGCAAAATTCTTCTCCTGTCACGAAACCTGGAATTCTTCAGGATTTGCGGTGACCTTTAGGATTCTTTACACATTACATTGCTCACATGAAGTTATGGGAAGCATATGCATTTTGGCACTTTAGAAACCCCCCTGAAAATCCCAGTGTGTTAGTGGAGGGATTAGTGAAAACATATACATTGAAACTCAAGGTTTTGTAAACTCAATAGACACTAATCATAAAAGGAAAAAATATTTTAATGAAAACAAAAATACATATGCTCATCTAAATGGGTATCTCTTAAGATACGGACTCTTTTTTAGGAAAAAAAAGCCCCTGTGGAAAGTTGGAGCATGTTATTCCTAATTGTGCTCTATACTCACTGCCTAAGCTGTATTTCAGCAAGTCATTCTGATTTTTATGTTTTAGGAGAGTTTAAATAAACATATACAGAAATCTTTTTACTTACACCTATACCTACCACTGTTACCTACCATGACATTTGGTCAGTCTGGTTTCTGTGCAGCTCCAGGGATCAGAATAAGCAACCAGGGACTATTTCAATTTATTTATCTATTTTATTTTTCATCTTAGCAAACCATAATTTGTAGGACAATGTCATGTTGTTGAAGTGCACTGTTTTCACCTTGGCCCTTACAGGGCATGGTTCAGTGGGGAGTGACTCTCCAGCCCTCAGTGCAGCTGAGCTGCTCCTCCCAGCCCTGCGGGTTCTTCTAATCATGCGCCCAGGCACTCACCTGCACAGTCTGAGGTCCTCCTACCGCCACCTCCAGACCTAGCACTTCCATCATGCTCTGTCTCAGGGGTTCTGTCTGGCGGACTGGCTCTGCCCAGGCCTGGCATTTGTTCTTCATCCCCCCAGTGTCAATATTACATTACCTCACAGCTGTGGGCCTTTTTTTTAATGTATTTAGTGGAAAGTCTACAGGGTCTCACTATGTAGATCAAACTCATAGTGATCCTCCTGTTTTCAGCCCCCCAAGTGCTGGGATTACAAATGCGCGCCATCACGCCCAGTCTCAATCGCCATCTCAGCGCACCCTGGGGGCAGGGCTGGCATGGCGTGTGGTACCAGGGATCGAACCCTGGCCCCTGCTATGAGCCTTTTCTTAAATGTCTCCTTCTCAAGGAAAGAGGCTTTCTTAGCCATTGTTCCCAGATCTCCACAGGCAAGGGTCACATGTGTGCCCTGCCTCTGTGTTCCTTACTATTTTCCTTCAGCAGTTGTCATTCCTAGCCTGTAATACATCTCACTGTACATAGGTGACTTCCGTAGATGGTGAGGAATGAAGGCAGCAGCTGTTCAGGACGTCAGCGCTGATACTAGAGACACTGCCTTGGTAACAACCATGCCCACTATAACTGCACCCCCGGGAGACGGGCAGATGCTGGGCGATGCGCAAGCACAGGGGCCTTGCTGGGCATGACAGTGCAACTGAGCTGTGAGTGTGAGCACCGCACCTCGCTTTGGAGGAATAGAGATGCCTCAGATGGGTTTTCTTAAAACAAGATTTTATGAAATAGTAAGAAAAACAAAGGTTAATATACTCTGTACCATTATCTTCAAAATAGAGTAGAACACATTAACAAAAAAGATTCTTACAAAGAAGAAACATACAGAGTATGGAAGGGCATTAACTTTAAATTTCATGTTTTAAGCTAATCTCTGAATGTAGCCTTTACTTTATGTTTTAAGCTTATGTATACATTTTAATATTTGGATTTAAAAAATGGACTTCAAGTCTTTGTGTATCCCCATAAAAAGAAAGGCAAGGAGGTTATTATGTTTTTATAAGTTCCCTACTGAGTAAACGGTAGGGTAGAGTTCTGGAGGAAGGCCTGTAGCTTTGCTAGACGTCCCTGTCTTCCTGTGGTCAGAATCCTTGGCTTGATAGAAATGGACAGTCTGCTACGTATAAATACCTAATTGCAAAATCCCACTCTGAAAGCAGAAGGTATTTTATTGATTGTGAAGCATTTCATTGATATACTGATTTCAAGTTGAAATATTTTGTACTTCAAATATGTCATTAAAACTTTACCTGCATCTTTTTAATGTGACTACTAGAAAATTTTACATCACACCCATGGCTTATTTCTCATACATGGCAGTTACTGTGTGGGATTCCTGAAAGTCTAGAGCAGTGGTGGCAAACCTGTGGCACGAGAGCTGCAGCGGGCGCACAGCCAAGTCACCCCAGCAGCCCAGCATTGGATTTTAGTTCTTTTCTAAACTAAAACCTCTATTCAGGTTCAGTTGCAGTGTTGGCCCTTTGTGATAAATAAGTGGACTTGGAGTACATTTTGGGCACTCGGTCTCTAAAAGGTTCGCCATCACTGCTGTAAAGATTTGGCCTGTAGAAATGACAGTGTAGTACCATTCAGTAAGATTTTTATGTCTATATGTCAACAGCCTTATTTCTTAGAATACTTACAAATATTTAAGATATTCAGATTATGAAACAAATGTCGCAGAATGTGATTATAAGTTGCTTCTTGTCTTCCCAGCCTAATGTCTCATTCCAAGCTGCCTGTGGGCCATCTAAGTGTGGCTGGCCTTCAGTTCTACACAAGCCTAAGCCAGTATGTGTGGAGCAGCAGTACTTTAAAGCTGTTGCATGTCATCTCATTAGGGGTAATGTACTACTGTAAGAATAATACAGTAAGCTAGTGAACAGGCAGAAATGTTCAAATCCTTTTAAAAACAAGTTCAAAGAATTGGAAAGTGGAGCAATGGCAAGCATTTTTAAAAGTTTGAAGGTGACACTGGTTTAGCACAACAGGCATATTCAACTCATGGACATGAGGACAGTGCTCTGGAAAGCACTTTGACAAAGGAATCAGAGCAGACCACCTGCTTGCCAATTAGAAGACAAACCCCCGGGGCCAGGGAGATGGCTCAGTAGAATAAGCGCTTCCCTGGCAAGCGCAAGGGCCTGAGTTCAATCCCAGGTTCCGCAAAAAAAAAAAAAAAAAAAAAAAAAAGGTACTAAGGTTTGTGTTTGGGGCCAGGGAGATGGCTCGGTGGAATAAGTGCTTCCCTGGCAAGCACAAAGGCCTGAGTTCAATCCCCAGTTCCGCCCAAAAAAAAAAAAGACAAACCCCCAAGTTGGTTTCATCTGCAGAAGTCTGACTGGGAGCAGCATGTGGGTGCTTGCCCAGGGGTAAATTCCTGTCGTGTGAGCACAGCCACCATCACCTCAGAGCTGTGGTTCTCTTGCCTCAGCATATAGGAGATGCTGCTGACCCTCAGTCATCAAGAGGAAAGTGAAGTAAACTTCCCAGCATGTATATAAACTCAACAGAGGCCCCTAGTACGTGGCTTGTGATTGGCAGATGGGTGGCACTGACCACCACTCATTGGGTCTGTGCCTTGCAGGGAAGCCAGGTGAGGGGCGGGATGGTCCAGGATATGGAGCTTTGAGGTACAGGGCTGCAGTCAAGGAACATCTGTGCAGGGCACCTCAGTGCAGTAGGACAGGCACCCTTCAGGTGGGACGTCAGGTCCTAGTCTGATCCCAGCCCTCTTTGCTAACAGTGATTACAGGAATCCAGTGTGGTGCACTCACTGTGCCTGCAGGGGGCACCAGGATGTCGCCAAGGGGGTTGTTGATCCAAACTTTACACTAGGAGTAAATCCCTAAAGCATGAGGCTATGCCCAACCAGTGGGAGCTGAGCAACCCCCTGACAACCCCATGGAGCCATGAGAGCTGGTGCAGTTCTCTTGACAACAGCCAGTCTGAGCTGCACCTCCTTTAACTCCTCAAGCCCAACCCCTTTCTTACTGTCCAATCTTGTCTAGTTAAGTGTACCTCTCACTGATGTATCCTTTTCTATGGTGAAAGACAAACTACTCTGTAGGGTGAATGTAAGGTCCCCATCTCTTTGGAACACTTCCTTGGATTCTGATAACATGGTAACCTCATGATTTCCCTCTGAATTGAACAAAAAAACCTTTTGCTGGTGTATAACAACAGGACTCGCCTGGCTCCTGGAGGGCTGCTGTCAGACACTGACCATGTAGAGGATGCCCTAGGACCGTCAGATGACATCCACATCTTCATGAGTGCTGCCGAGGCTGGCAACCCTGTAGAGGGACAGATGTCCAGCTGTGGCTCTACAGCAGGGAGCATGTGGACAGCCTTGACCAGCCAGCACAGCAGCAGCCATAGGTGCGCTCTGCCCCCTAGAATCCACCCAGTGAGTGGGCGCTCAAGCCTATGGCCATCCCCTTCTCTCCCAGACCACTTCTCTGCCTACCTCAGTCCCACCCTGCCCAAGGAGCTTTTACCACTATTCTCTGCTTTATATGTCCTAAACTAGCATGAGATTAGATTGAATCCTTTCTGTGCCAAAGTATGAGATGACTTTTGGGTTATCTCCAGACGTGAGTAAAGTGACCTTCCCAGCTGAAAAGAGAATAGTAATGTTTACTATGCCACACTCCAAGAGGAATAGTTCGAAAAATATTTGTCATCCTATTCCCAGGACTTGAAAGGTATCCAGCTATGGAAGAGCAAAACATTAAGAGAAACCAGCATCCCACTGCTTTAAAATATCTGATACTGTTTTCTCCCTGGATTTTTTTCACACGTAACTTGGGAGATGGATATAATAACTAGATGGTGGATGAATAGACAGATGGACAGGTGACTGGAGAAGCAGACCAACAGATACATAGACATTTACTCCCCCTCACCTGCCAACATTTTGGTCTTAAAATGGGAGAAACTCCACTTTGCCCCCTCCTCAATGTCAGGGTAGTGCTCACAAGCAGAATGCCATGAACCTACTACACTGCTTGCTCATCAGAGGAGTGGCAGTCACTAGCATAGAGAGGAGCCACAGAGACCACTTAGTCCAGCCAGCAAGTTTCTCTAGCTTTCCGTAAATAGAAATAGTTTCTGCCCAAACACAATCATACACAGAGCCCTAATGTATGAATACATACCAAAGAAAGAGTTGATTCTTTTCCAAGGGGACCTCTGTCCTCTGAACCCTTTCTAGGATTCATGGGACCCAGCTTGAAAACTGCACATCCTCTGATTTTGTGTATAAAGCTACAGCCTGAAGAAATAATTGAATCACAAAACAAGTTATAGCTACATGAGAATTGTAAAAGAAGTGAACATACAAGTCCATGCAGTTACTAATTGTGCAGTAAACTTGTGGATTGACCAATGAGCAACATGTAGCAATTAACTGAACTCAATCTGTGGTTTTTGGTGTGGAAGGCCCACCTGGGGATTGTTACCAACAGCATAAAAAGAAATGGAAGTTAAGATGGTGCTGTTGATCCTTCTGGAGAAGCTTGTGCTGGTTTTCCTGATAAGAATTCAGATGTTATCATTGGAGGAGCTCAGGACCTTGCTGTCACTAAGGATGGCTGTGATACCGGGAGCATTGCTTCCTGGCTCCAGTACATATCCCTCAGGCTACTGACACGACTCCTTCACCCTGCTACCACAGACTTGCTAGCTTCCACCACTGGCCTTTGTGCCTTCCCAGTGCAGATCCTTGATTCAGACTTGCGTGAGACATTGTCCTGGGTGCTATATTTCTGGCTGGACTTAAGGACATTGCCATGGGCTCTGGGTTTTCAGCTGGATTTGTGCAGGACATTTCTGTAGGATCTAGGCCCTCAGCTGAATAGTTTAGGTCTCTAATGTGTGCACAGATTTCTTGCACTCTTCTGCATTTGAATTCTTGGATGAGTAATATAAAATAGTCCTATAAATTATATGTCCTGTATCAAATCCATTCCCTTTCAAACCCTAGCTACAGCCTGGCCACCAGTAATTGTCATGGTCATTATGCATGTCCACAACACACTAGAACTTTGTGTGATATCCTATCCTCAAACTGTTAGAAGTGCTGGTCATTTATTTGCCATTCCAGTATTTATCTTATGTTTTACTCGTAGTACTTCTTTGCTATCATGAAAACTTTTTTCTTA